AGTTTACCTCCAGATTGTTTTGTCTCCAGAGGAAACATGTCACATACATGGTATCTCTGTTTCTGGAAAGAGACTATTCAGGAAAAGTGATAATGTGGTAGTTTTTCCATTTGCTTTCCACATCGCAGTACAGCAGCCGTTCAAACCACTCTGGTCACGCCTGCTGCTATACGAACTTGAACCATCTCGAGCATCATTTGCTCTGTGCTTCAAGTCGCTACTGATGACGCTGCTTCCGGCATCACTTTTTGGTCTCTCTCTTCGTCTGATGCCTACCCTTTGACCTGTCCAGCAAGGGAGGCCCTGCCAGTAGCTACGCTACCGCTGGTATAGCTCTCAGGGTCCTTGGCATACTCAAACCCCCTTACCACGATAAGGTGGAGACACCAATGACACATAACACATACTTTAAAATTAATTAAAGACACTGAAACTTACGCATGGCAATACTTGAATGAGTGGCATATACACAGTGGCCCAAAAGTCAGTTAACTTAAAACATTCTCTCATATTACTGGGAATGTTCAGACTGAAACCTGTTAACAATGGCATGAGTCAGCTGCATGCATTCTTTCTAATTCAGCTACTCTAGTTTCATGCAGGCAGCTGCACCAGTAACATTGTACCTTGGTGCTTTTCAATTACCACCACTGTTTCATTATTGTTATTATGAAATGTAAACTAACTTAAGATGAAAGAATTTTTCTTTTCGAAACTGGATGAAATATTATAAAGTACACTACAGTTATTGAAATGTTTCTTAATGAATTTCTAGATGTTCAACCATCAAAATGTAAGACAATCTACAAATTAAATAAAAGATATGAAAAAATAGGGTCCATCAGTGATCGACCCCAGATCAGGACAACCATGAACTGCAGCAACTGATGAAAATTTATAGGCTGTGACAGAGGTCTTGGCAGCCAGCCCTATTAAACCATTGAGAATAGCCACAACTGAATCAGTAACTGCATGAATAAGTTCACAACAAATTGTAAACAGGATAAAATTGAGGCCACAGTCCAAAACTGCTGCATGTGTCGCATTTTAAATGGTATCTTACATAAAACAAAGGTGATCTTGAATTACACAAACCCATTCTATGGACATAAGAGATGATCTTCAAACTGAGTCAATGGGTCAACCATCATAATTGTGTCTAGTGGGCAAATGACAACCATCACCAAATCATCCAAGAGGAATTGAAATGTCTGAGGAAATACTGCTTGAGCCAGAATTTGGAGTGGGGGAATTATAGGTCCACACTTTTTTCGTGATACTGTCACTGGAGACAGCCAACTGAAATGATGGAAAATGGTCTTCTTCCTGAAATGAAACACCATACCTCCTATGATGGAGTAAATTTCATTTGGCACCCAACTATCCTTGATAGCATGATGAATTTCTTAACGACTAATTTCAGTGAATGGATAGGCTGACATGGAGTTATCGATAGGCCACCACACTCCTGAGATATTACTCCATGTGACTTTTCAATGTGGTAAATTGTAAATCAAGATGTCTTCTCAAAACAGCCCAACAAATTTTGTAAATTCAATCATTAATAAAGAAATCTCTAAAGTATTTGTGTATATTTTACTAACAAGTTAACTGAGCTTTGGGCCACCATGAATACAGATTTATCAAAAACTTCAAATGAGATATTTAAAAATCTAATTAGGTCCTCAGGTAATGTGATCCTTCATTTAAATTTAAGAGAAAGAAAGTTAAACATGATAATACTCATTTAACATGGTAAACATGTTATACATCAAGATTTGTCAAAATCTGTCAAAGGTCTCAAAAACACAGTTCAATTAAGCTCATAGATAAAGGGGACCATAAAATTGTCCAAATCAAAATGGGTGGATGAAATCTAGTACAGGCCCTGCAAACCTGTAGTTTGGGCTTTATGAGTGGACAGCCAGCCATTATGAAAGCAATACAAAGTCTCTGCAAGTCAGTTTTGAATTATGCTTCAAAAGCTGTTGCTAGCAAAACCTTCCTACTGGAACACACACCTGTATGCTTCACTATGTAGACAAAAATGGGAACAGGGCAGAGCTGTAGAAACCAGCTATGTTTATACAAGAGCATGAGAACACAGCCATACAGAACACCATACAGATACTTGTCGCTGCCCATGGGCTGGCTGTAGGTGGTGTCAGTGCTGTGCTGGTGTCTTGCTTCCTGCCACTGCAAGGTCTTCAGGAGACCTAGGGCTGCACGTGAACCCATATTCCTGGGAGACTCAAATGGGGATGGTTCACTGATACGGCGCTGAGAACTCGATGGAAGAGCAGCTGGTTGTGACATCTGGGTATCAATAGAGGAGCCTTCAATCTTTCCCTCAGACACAGGTGTCGGCCCCTTCTTCTCTAACTGCCCACTGGATAATGCTTCAGCTACAAAGAAAGTGAACAACAGTAAAGGTTCTTGTATTAAATAAAAATGTATGCATTGAAGGTAACTGCAGTGTAAAGGAGGTGACCTTACTCAATTAAAGAAACACTCAGCATTATCTTGGGTTTTTTCCTGGGCCATTTTATGGCACTTTCAGCATCACAAACTACATGGTGTCAGATGGTATAATGATAAACAAACGATGAAGTGGAAAGGATTCAGAATTAAGTGATCATGGCCTAATTAAGGCATATTCTGCCATATGCCTTAGTGGAATAAGTGAAAACCACAAGAACCGTCTAGAACATTGCTAATATCAACATTACAGCATCTGATCTTTTTATATTACAGTCTATTACTTTTACTTTCATTTATCTCTAATGACTTTGAATTCTTCTTACCTATAAAAATCAACAAGCAGGTAAATGGTCAAATCCACTCCACAAGTAAATCACGCAGTGCTTTCAAAATTTTCTCCATTTCTATTGGTTTCAGTGAGGAAGCTCCCAAAATTGTATTTTTCAGTCATTAGGAAGTTAAGGTTTCCAATGAAAATATTCTTCTTCTCAATTTCTCATATGGTTCAGAGAGCCATACTGTGACAAGATTCAGGAATGGGGAAAAGTTTATTTCTCTTAGTTACAATATCAAAATTTGTGTCAGTTATACCCAGATATCCAAAAAGATGGTAACAAAATGCGGTATTCTGTAGGATGTGAGGCTGAGTAGTGTGGTACATTACTGAAAAATGCTTTTCCTTGATATATGACAGGAAGTACAGTGACCATGCTGCATGACAGCAGTCAGAATAAGTTACAGATTATTTTTATATTTGCAATACATTTCAGAATATATACCAGACTGTCATGATCACTACACCAATTTCAGTACTTAAAATGATTTTCAAATGGTATTTTTGTATGATACATTCTATGCTCTTAGGAAAGGACTCTCACTAATAACTCCAGGTCATCATTAACCTTTAAACGCCAGACTTTTGAAATGGTGGTAAGCTTGAGTTGGCCATAGTTTATTTAAATGCCAGCTGCTGGCGCGCGTTTAAATGCCCGTTGCTACTACTCTGCATTTATATGTCTGTTCCTGTTAAGGCGCTTAAACAATTTTAAGCATTGCGTTTAAAAATCCTGTATCTAACACAATTTTTATGATAAATGGTTGGAATTAACTTTGTTTCTATCAGCAAAGAACATAGTGTCACATATTATAACGGAAGATTTGAAAATTTTTATATAAAGTATTATACTCTATTTTCAATGTTTTCTTTTAATTTTGATGCATACTGCAAAAATGGTTTCGCGGTTCTTCACAGAGTTGTTCTGCATTATAAATTCACTTATGTTTGTAACATTTGACAAATTTTAGCAGACCCTGGTGTCATAAAATAGATGAAAGCAATAAAACCATTTGGTTCTCTGCTGGAAAACCTTACATCTTGTTACACAATGTATGACACAAACTCCGTCCTAAGTGCAACAATTTATTGTAGCTCTTTTGTCTTCTCTTCTTCTACACTACATGTTTTGGCCGTAAATGGCCATCATCAGGTGTATACTCTCACATAGCTGTTACACTGCATGTAGTTTAAAATTTAAGAACACCAGCTTTCTTATTTGTTCATTTCTCCATTGTTAATAGGTCCCAATATATCAGAATCCCCTTGCTGATATTTGTCAGATATGTATAAAATCTTTGTTAATTTACATACGTCAATCTGACTTTTGAATTTTGGCATTTTTAAAATCTTCAATTTAAATTTAAAAATTTTAAATTATTCAACCTCATTTTTATGTCATCTCATGGCCTATTTAATACTTTTTTTTACATTACACTGAAGTATGAATTAGTTATTTCAATCACAGTGTTCAACAACATCCAACACTTTTTATGAATATTCACACTTAACACTTAAAAAAATGTAATAGTGTCGTTTGCTTTTTCGCAGCATTTTCCTTTTTACGGCTATCCATACAAAGCCTATGTAATATTAGCTTGTCACTTAATAAACTGTACTCTTCACTCTCAAGAATAGTCTAGTAAGGATTCCAAATGATTAAGAGCAGCACCATGTCACCATGTGATATTTTCTTACTAGCAGCACTGTCCACCTCTTCCTCATGCTTCCTTTTACACTCTGACATTTTGCTAACGCACTTGAAGATCAATACAAAGAGACTAACTGGGGCAGTGTATCTGTCCTTGAAACTTTCCATAAATCCTTGCATTCTTTCAGCCCTACCTTAGAACATTGTGTTAGTATAACGGGACCAAAAAATGCAGAGCTCGGTTCACACTAGTGCGAAAATAGTGTTACAACTCACCATGTGAAACATAAGTGAATGAATATTAAACAACATATAAGCCTCAAAAATGCCCCAGTAACCCCAGTTAAACCGCAAACCGGTTTCTCTGCCCACGGATAATCGAGAGTTGAGTGTATAAGCAAAGCAAGTACCATATACTGCTGGGGACTGCTCATCATTTTTGAGCACACATGTTGTCATACTGTCTTAAGCGTTCACTCACCACGTTCTTCTTCGTGTTCATGGGACTGATGCTCACTGACTTCCATTTCAGCCTTATATGCCCTTCCTTCATCAGCAATACCCAGCTCAGACTCACTTTCCTATGACAGGAGACATGTGAACACTGCATCCAAGGCTTGGTACATTAACATTCCAGAGTCTTTTCATACTTATGTCAAATGTTAGTGATTAGTGAGTTGGGAAGGATGTGGAAGGAAACACTCTGACCTATCTGTGGTACTACTGTGGCATTTGCCCAGAGGGACTAAGGAAACCCACAACAAATACGACAGACAGAACAGCTGATATCCAAGTTGAGATTCAAACACGCAAACTCCAAAATGAAGTGCAGCAGTGCTACACAATTGATAACATTCAGTCAGAGTCTTGTTTAAGGAGGGGGAAATAAATAATTTATATTACACCAGAAATTAAATATTCTGCAAAGTGCTGACTTAAATAAATAAGTCAACACTGCTAGTCTCCAAAATCCAGAATCAGTACATGTGTAGAAGACAGCTACTGGGCAGAATAGTTGCTAGGAAGGACACCAGGGTACAATATATAAATACAGGACAATAAAATCCAGGTAATAAAACTAATAAAGAAAAAAAAAGTATAAAATTATACAGTTCAAATGGCAGATGGTTACTTTATATGTAACTGCACATAAACAACCCAATAATAAATGCAACAAAAGCAAACTCACCTTAGCTTCATTTTTTAGCATTAAAACCATCTTCACAGCATCAGTGTATGAAACACACTTCCCTGCACAAACATAAAAACAGCACTTCAGTTCTCTAGTTATAACCTTCAATAATCCATAAACCATTGCAATTTTGACAACAGTACAGATGAACACTTCCACTTCCAGTAGAAATAACCAACACTTTCTGCTTTGGCAGCTATCACACGAATGTGGTTCACTAGCAAATACAAACCAGACAAATTTTTCATAAAGTTGATCATATCTCCAGTGTTAAACAGGCAGAAAGAGAGAAGAATCACATGCTCAAAGAATATTGATCTTGTGGGTGTAATCTGGCTATTCCTTCCCATAACTTCATACTCTACACAGGGACAACTGGCTAATCAGAGTCAATGATTAGTATCTGAAGAGAAAGTGCAGACACTGTATATTTCATAATGTCTGACGCCAGGAGGTACCAATATCAATATGAGGTCTACGCTATACATGCAGCTTACAAAAATTATTTTTCACTCACTATTATAAACCAATTAATTTACTTACTGAGTCTGATTATATCTCAAAGAAGGATCAATTACTTTCACAACAAATGAAATGAATATGTAAAGAATCATACAATAATCTTCTCACACACATTTCTGTCCACCAAGGTGCAGAACAACAGCAAGAGCAACATGCAGGTATGAGAAGGATCTGGCATGTGAAGACATGAACATACAAACTGAAAAAAGCACTGCCTAAACAACTCTACAAATTATACTTCTCTTCTGAGTGTGGCTCCTTAAGAGTGTTCCATCCACAGGAAATTCATAATTAACTGAATAAGGCAATGGCTAACTCAGTGGTTCTAAACTCTTTCAACATTGCAGAAGCCATTCCTGTCAAAACCAAGCTCCAAGAAACCACTCAAAATGACCCACAGTAGCAAACCTCTGGGAAATTAAGCAACCAAGAGAGTAAAATGTAAGGCTCATCTAAAGTGTTTTGATGAAACAAGATTCTTTGAGAAACGTCGGTTTTGTACCATCACACATAACGTTTTGGTTATTGTATAATAAAACAGTTGATATCAAGTGAAAACAATAAGTCAGTCAGTTTATTAAATTAATCTCACAATATGTTTTGGTCTGTTTTCACTATCATCAGGTGGATATACATAACAAAACATATACTATGCTCATGCTGATAATGGTCAAAGTGACCAAAACATGTGGTGTGATTAATACAGGGTGGGGCGCAGAAACTTCCTTCTTTTGAAGACGCATTGTGAAGGGAGGGGAGGTTGCAGAAAAGTGGGGATAGGCTCGGTGAATGCAACAGTCGCAGAAGTTTCTGTCAAATACCCCTCAGTAGGAAACATGAGGTGGATGAGTGAGCAGCGTGCGTTTGCTGTTGAAGCCTATTTTTTGAACCATTCCTACGTGCGTTCTGTACTCACTTCGGAATTAAGCCCAGAGGTCTGGTTCCCGACCGGAAATTGGTTGTTTTGTGGGTAGAGAACTTTAGGACAACCAGGAGTGTGGTGAAAAAATCATCAGGACGACAACAGACCACTACAACACCAGAAAATGTGGAGGCAGTTCGAGAGTTGATTTTGAGATCTCCAAGACTCTCCGCTCTCAAACATGCAGTCGCCCTAGACATAGCCAATCATTCAAAATGTGCCGAATTCTTCATAAACATCTTCCTTTCCATCCCTATAAGATGGTTGTTGTACAAGAATTGTCACCACGTGATTTCCAGAACCGAATAATGGCGTGCGAAATGTTATTGGAAACTTTACTGCCTGACGCACTTGTTTTCTTTAGTGATGAGGCACATTTTCGCCTATCCGGATATGTCAACAAGCAGAATATGCACTATTGGAGTGGTAACAATCCCAGAGAGCTCCATGAGAGGCCACTTCACAGTGATAAGGTGCCATTATGGTGTGTGTTGTCGAGAGTTGGAGTTATTGGCCCTATTTTTTTTAACCGTTCAGCGTGGTTTGACGTGTATGTTTCGTCAGGTATTTAAATCGTCTGGGGGGGTTTGACGTGTATGTTTCGTCCAGCTGCACACCTACGTTATAACGCCCATAATATTTGATGGTTTTGCTGTAGATTGTTAGATTTTTCGCTGGCCTGTTGTCAGGAGAACAACGAGAACGACGACAGGAGTTTAGCTGCGCTAAGTGATCGTTACATATGCCTGTCTTGCAGCAAAGTTCCTGTTGCTCTTGCGAGCGATTTCCTCGTTCAAGCTGTTATGAATGGCGTGTTTTCTTTGCTCTGAAGCTATAAACAGCAGAGACGTGATATGTGCTTGTGTTTATAATATCATATTGCCCTGAGCTGGCCACACTAACACACTCAATTGGAATTCTTAGAAGAGGGATGTCCACATTTTATTCTTGCCAGATCGATTGATTTCGCACAGTACATGGCAGCCAGTTCTTAGAAAAACGCCACAAATTAAGGCAGAACACTGTGGTCACCCCCTGTGACGATGGGTGTGTGTGTGTA